TGAGGAACGTATGAAAACATCACAGCGTGCCAAGTCTTCGGATCATAATTCTCCCAATTGCATTTGGATGCAGGCAAGACCCAAATCCTGTTCAGCTGATCAGGCTGCCAGAAGGATATGATCGCATCGTCCGGAGGTGACGTAATTGGCACGTTGATGCCGATGGTGTGGACGAATGCTGCGCATGCATCGCATTGAGTGGATGAGTCGCACAATTGTCTCAACTTCTTGCAACCATTCCACATGTTCTGACATCGCCAGTCATTGGGATCTTGTTTGAAGATATCGATTTCAGTCCCCGGTGGGTACTGCTTCCTCGTCTTCTTGGACTAGCGGATCTTGGATGACCAATGGTTGAACATCCTTGTTGAACGGGAGGTCCTGAATTCTGACCGCAAGACTGCTGCTGGTCATGTTGAACTCCTTGTCAATGGCTTCCATCTCCTTTCTCAGGATGTCAACCTGCTTGATGGTGAATGGTTCGAAAAGGTCCTCCAAGACATACACCTCGTTGTCAAGTGGTTTCACCTTCAAGCGTCGTAGGAGGATGTGGGCGAGATCCTGACAGAACTGGTAAGGATACACCTGTGCCAGCTTGGTTCTGCTTCCGAAAGTACCAGCATTTCCCTCGAGGGGTTGATGCCCACGCTTGACCGAGCTGGTAGAATTTTTACACCGTCTGAAGATCGGTCTCATTACCTCGGGAGGTAAGCAGTGCATCAAGCTCGTGGGCTTGAGACTTCTGAGTCCGGATTCAGGATCTTTCAGTCCGTATGCACAGAAATGGAAATCTCCCCAGGTCACGGATGGATCTGAAAACAGTTGCTGCATACAATTCAGATACCATATCTTGGATGTCTGAGGATTTTCAATGATGAAATATCTTCCGTGCTTCAACTGATATCGCTCAATGGATGCCACAAACTCAACCATGGGAAGATAGCGTTTTCGCTTCTCCCAGACTCTTTGTTGGTCTTGTTGGATGTTCTGCATGTTTGACCATGGTCCACAGACCGGTGCCATCAGGATTACATCAGGCGCTTGCTCCCTGATGATCTCCATGACCATGTGTCGCCCCTTGCATGTCATTACGTCGAATGTTTACGGGAGTCCGAACCTTAAGACCTGAGAGTGCACAGCACTGACTGAATCTGGCAATTCCTGCAAAGATCTCGAGAACGTGGGTCTTCCCTTTACGTACGCAATTCCAGTGCGCTTGTTCAGGAACGGATGTGAGGTCCTCGACGAACATGTTCTCTGCCGGATTAGGTGCTGCAGGCTTGGGAGTTGTCTTTCCCGCAAGACGTAATGGCACTGAGGATTTTGGCTTAGGAGCTTCTTCTTGGTGTCGGCAGAGGAGCCGGGTTGCTCCTTCTGCAAGGATTCTCGCTCTTCTGGCAATAGAAGATCAATCCCATGGTTTCATCCTTTCTGACCTTCGTCATGCTAACCTTGATGAGTCGAGTCCCAAGATCAAGTCCTACCATTGCTCCTTCAATTGAAATGACTTTTCCTTTTAGCCATATTCCTCCCTTGCTTCCATCGGAACGGATCTTGGATTTGTCTTCCTGCCAGTAAACTACCTTGTCCTTCACCTGAAGAGGCTTAGAACTCATTCGGAGATTTTGAGCAAGGTCTCGTCGGATGTCTTGGGATTGACGTGCTTCTTGGAACGCTTGCTTGGACAGCTGCTTGATCTGGATGGCTGTCATCTCCTCCTCATTCCTGTCAATCGTCAACTGAGTTGGTGTTGCGACATCAAGTTGGATGAGATCTGCTGGTCGTCTTCCGAAAGCGAGCTCCAATGGTGTTACACCCGCGTAGGTGACAGTCTGATTCCTGACAGTTGCAGCTGCCTTCACCAGCTGTCTATATGTCACTTTCTTCAGTGTGGCAGGTGCTGCGCCTGCCTTGGTGGATCTTGAGCTGTGCCTTCAAGAGTCGAACTGCAGCTTCAGCTCGATTTGGCCATGGTGTATTCGGTCCCAATGATATCGGTGTGATGTCAAGGGATTGATAGAAATGTTCCCATGTCTCCGTCATGAAGGCTTGATCTGCGACAACTGATTTGGGCTGCAAGTGGCACTGGTCAAAATAGTTCCTGAGGACAGTGATGTTCTCGACTTCTTGCGTAGTTGTCACTGCCTCTGCAGTGAGCAATGTTGTTGCTCCATCCAGGATGACAAAAACAATGATATGTTCTCCTGTTCCAAGAGGAACTTGACAGTGATCAATGAATGTCATGTCGCCAAAGGTGTCCGCTCGAAGTCCGCTCGTCTTGCTTCGTGATGGTGCATGTGTTGCCGCTTGGCAAACTTCACATTCACTTCAAATTTTGTCAAATAGATCACATGTTGATTTCGGCAAATGAAGTGAGCGAGTTCAAAATCGAAATTCATCTGTTGTCATGCGATGATGCTGGAGGTGGAGCTTCTTCAACCTTCACTCTTGCAACTCCAGCGAGATCGACGAGCGCATGTCCTGTACCGGCATTGAGGTGTGTGCTCGATGGTCATGTAGAGGTTCCGCATCTGACTGATGCTGAGGAGGATCGGTACAGTTCTTTGTTCAAGGATGTCGATGTTGGTACTGCATGGAGGAGTTGTGTGACATCGAAGATGCAGGGTCCAATTTACCCTGGCGGTCTCTCCGTTTGCAAAAGTGAACTTGGTCTCGGCCGGGATGTACTGATAGGAGATGATGTCCTTCATGGGTTCGATGGCCTGAGTAAAACGCTGGATTGCATGCCAGCTGCCCATGGATCGCATAGTTCGGATTGCGCTGAGGGTGTTCTGAAACTGCATCTGATTGGATCAGCTTCCCGTGGATGGCCTCTTTCTCATGATGCTCATATGCGTCATGGAATGCCATTAGCGCTTGTCCTGTGCTGGATGTCTCATGGGATGAGTACCAGCCTTGTTCATTCCATGTCCATGATTGATCCCAATCTTGGTCTGTCCAACCGGCATAGGTAGCTCTGTGGATGGCGCAGTCTGCTGGATGGCGGGCTGCTCCTCCATCTTCTCTGCGATGGCTGCGAACGTCTTGGGTTTTCCTTTGTCATGTCCGCCTTTTCCTTTGCCATTCTCATAGGGTGGATAACCCTTGTTTCCATCGTAGGGATATTGGAATTTTGATTTTCCTTTCTTTCCCTTCTTTCCTTTGCCTTCTCCATATGCCTGGCCGTAGGGATCAGAGTTCTCATTGGCCATCTTGGCCTTCCCGCCAGAACCGCCTTTTCTGAAGGGTCGTTGGTGACTGCCCTTTTTGTTTCCTGATTTTCCTTTTCCTTTTCTCTTCTTGAATCTGAAATTCCGCCCTGACACTTTTCTTGCTATGAACGCATCGTTCTCCTCGAGGACCCAGAATGTCTCTTCATCGTTGTTTGACATGAATCCTTCAAGTCCTTCTTCATCCTCAACCCAAAAGCCTTCTTCTCCCTCGTATTCACCTTGTTCGATGATGAAGAATGTGTTGCTTCGGTTGCCTCCTTGAGGTCGGATGGATGGATCTTGAATGGATGTCCGTCGTGATGAAGAGTTCATGGTAGTGTGTCTTCAGCATCTCATAGGAGTAGTTCTCTAGTGAAATGTTTCTCAATGACATTGCACTTGTCAGTCTTTCTCTCTGCTGATCTGACAATTCACTACTGCGCAGTCTGTCCTGCATTCCCGTGATATACTGTCTGAAGAGGACTGGAGGCGGTACTCGAGCAACAGCTGCTTGCTGATGTCGAGCAATTGTTCTTGCATTTGCGTCCTGTACGGACTGTCGAAACGATGGGGACTGTGCCGTGAAAACGGGCATCAAGTCCATCCATGCTGCCTTCAATCTCATGAGAAGGATTTCGAATTTTGATGTAAAAATGAGGAACTCTCGGCTCTGCCTTCTATGATTGAAGAAACTGAGGAGCCTGTACAGATACACGTTGGTCGCACCTTTCAAAAAGCACTTCTTCAGCGTGCTCTTGAAGTAGTTGACTCCTTCATCAGGATCTTGCAAAAGGTCATTTTGGAGGACTGCCTTGTACATATAGGCATCTCCTGTGAGTCTGCTCTTGAGCAGAGGTCCTCTCTTGGGTGCTTCCACCGTAGTGATTGTCACCCAGTCGTCCACGTTCTTCATACCTAAACCAGCTGACTTTTCCGTCGCACGATGGCGGCTGCTTGGCGGTCATCGATAAATTGAGTGTTTCCTCCGTATAGCCTGATGGTTTGGCCATACTTGAATAGGCTTCCATGAAGCCTTCTCCATCGGATGACATCTTCCCTTGGATCTCTGCGGAAAACCCGCTCCGCTACCACAAATTGAGGCCCACTGCCGGGGTGCCTATCCCAGAAGGGAACTGGTACCCTGTGGTAGTAGAGGCTATTCCGGAGAGAGTCCAATATGCCACTATGGAGGATTGGAGGATGGATTGTCCCTGGTGGCTTGTGTTGACTGTGAATCCTGTGAAGCGGTCTGCAAGCCCTTTTTATCAATGTACCATGAGTCGAATGACTGTACAAATGACTTGAAGGGCCTTGAACCATCATGTCAGCGGAGTGTGTGAATAGGTCAATGTGCAACGAAAAGCAACACAGCGGGTCCCCCGCCATGATGTCCGAAGAAGTGATGATTCATAATAGGGTGGTGGTGATGCTGATGATGCGGGAAGCCAAATCCGAAAACCAATGAAAGGGCGCAAAAGCCAAAACGCCCGAATGATGCGAAAAGCCAAAAAGCCACCAAAAGCCGCATAAACCAGCAAAAAGCTGAAAAAGCCCAGAAGCCCAGAAGCCAAGAAGCCGAAAAGCCAAGAAGCCAAGAAGCCAAGAAGCCAAGAAGCCAAGAAGCCAAGAAGCCAAGAGGCCAACCAAAAAGCAAAGAGGCCAAGAAGCCAAGAAGCCAAGAAGCCAAAAGCGAAAAAAGAATCCCAAAAAACACAAAAAACAAAATAAACACCCCTCCCTAGGAAAATATCAGCATCAGCACCAGTTCCCCTCATCGAGCCAAGTAGCTTTTGGCTGTGCGAGTCCAAGACTGCGGCCCGCGGCAACTCGTCGGCCTGATCGGCGGAGACATCTGGGTTTTCTTTGCTCAAACTCTAAGAAACCGACACCAGACTTTTCGAGCAGAATAGCCCGCAGTCTTTTCAGCATCTTACGAACACCTGTTTCGGGCTTACCCCGCACATGGCTATAGGCAAGCCTTGCGCCCGGAACACCAAACGTTATTTGAAGGGCGGCCTCCGCGCATGCGCACAGAGGTGTTTTCGCGGCTTGTGGCCGTTCCAGCTGCGTGGCTTTTCCAAACGCCCAAAACCGTCGCTAGGGGGTTCGTGCGGGCATAAACGCAAGCCTTGCGGGCCGGCTGGCACTTGGCTGTTGTTTCGCTTCAACCAAGCGACGTAACTACGGACGACTCTACAGGGATCCTCATGACATGGACATCAAAAAAGGATGACTGAGAAAAGAGCTTACACATCACCCTTACGCATCATGCTTCCTCATCATCTTCTTAAGCCATGTTGGGCAACTGGAAGTGTTTGCTGAACAACGCAACGGTAAGCATATACAAATCTAAACCCCACACAACAAGCCACAGCCTCAAAGAATTTGGCGAAACAAAACCCAAACACTGACAGAGTTGCGTATGTTCAAGTTGAAGCATCTTGAGCCTGCTTTGAATAAAACTAAAGACAAGTTGAAGCAGCAAAGAAGGCAAACTACGGGACTTGAGGTCTACAGATACAAAAAGATGCTTTAGATGTTGATCATCTTAGTCGCCTCTGTCCAACTTCTGCCTCTCACTTCCCGGTTCGCCTGCTTGAGCTCCAGGATTCGGGCCAGGAGCTTCTTGCGATCGCCCAACTTCAAGCCAAATTCGTCCTTCAGCTCCTCATTCCTGAGATCCATGTGGTCAAACTCACTCCTGCTGCCATGATCCAACCATGGAGCACATTTCTATCGGGCAGCACTAACTATCTGAAGAGGAGGTGATGACCACCCTTAGCAAGGAAGAAAGGCTTGGTCAGAGCGCAAATTATTCGCACAAACTGAATTATGGAAGGTGCGGCGAAACAGGAAACAGGCCGGTCAGTCCGAACGCAGGTCGCTCAGTTCAGACATGCGGCGTCAGCTCAAGGAGCAGCTCTCCATCAACTTCTTCTTGGCAGAAGCCCTCCACCAGCTTCTCAAAACCAATTTCTGCCAACCAATGCGAGACATCCTGGAGGCCACAGGAACTGCATTCAGGTGTTTCCCTGTGTACGGTTTCCTGCCAAAACCGAACCCTTCCTGAATGCGTGAAATGTTGCTTTTCATCCAGCTGAGCTCTCAATATACCTGAAGAATCAAACCTTGCACAAACGCACACAGTTCTTTGCCATGGCCCAATTTGTCCTCTGATGTCCATGACTTCACAGTCGGCATGGCGCTGACAGCAAGGTTCGATTCTTGGTTTGTCGGCTCCTTTCACTTCTGCTTGCGTTCTTGCAATCGTCTCAGCTACGTGGCGCCTCCAGAGCTGCAATCAGAAAGGCAGCTCAACAAAACGTTTGAGTCCATTCATAGATTGTTGTTGGGGAGGCACTCTTTTTTGTTGGCGTTAGAGGGACAACGAAAGGAAACCTGAAACCTGCCATTTCATCATTCATGAGTCCCTCCTCGATGCGAGGCGCAAATTGCGTCTCTCAAAGTCGCCTGGTTGGTTTCCATGTTGAACTTTCATAATGTTAAGATGGCCCTGAAAAAAAGAACTGGTACCATCGGCCACAACATTAAACTTGACGATTGGTCTCTGGAGTGATTGCGCTTTCAAAAATAGATTTGGTGTAGAGGTTGCTCACGCGGAGCTTTCGAGCTTGTCTTCACGCTGTCTGGCCTCAGCAGCAGTCTTCATCTGCTGAGTTTTGCAACCGCTTCAGGTTGCTTCCTTTTCAGCCTTCCGTTCCTGCCTCTTCTGTCAGACTAGCATTTGGATTCAATCACACCCACAGCATGATGCACGCATTGACATTTCATGAAACCGATTGCCATACAGGCTCCAACTTTACTGGAGGTAAAAGAACCGTTGCCCGCTCGACATGGTAGCGGAGCCGGTGCTGTAAGACCTGCCCTTGAGCAGGCAGCCCGGCTAGGGAGAACCACAACGGCCCGATCAGGGACCTCGACCACCAGGAGAGCAAAAGTGCCCTGGCTACCGATCCTCCTGCTGCTGGGCACGATCGCAGAAAGCTCTGGAGTAGTTCCGAGCTGGACCCAGGAGGTTGTCAACATCGGTGGGCCTCAATTCGAGTTTGGTGGTCGGTGGAAAGTGAGAAGGTTGGAGGTGCAGCCGGCGCAAGTCAGCTACGACCTGGACGACCTAGGTGGCCTTGAGAAGTATAGGTACAAGGCGGACTATACGGAGGTGAAGAGGATCTATTTGCAGATCTTTGTGGAGGTCGTAAAACGGACCTTCATCACGATGGCCGAGCAGCTTCAGCAGATCAGAGAGGTGCTGGATGGCCTGACCCGCAACCAGGAGCAGAATCAGTGGGCCCGGAATGTCAAAGGGCCGGAAGTCTTCAAAGCTGACACCCGCGAGAGCGAGTTGAAGCAATGGGAGGACTGGAAATTTACTTTGGAGAACTGGGTCAAAGCGGTGGACCCAGAGATGTACCTGGACATGAAGCGGGTGGCCCAGAACGATCGATTGGAATGAGCTGAGCGATGCGAGAAAGGTGAAGCTCTTCGGAGTGCTGGCTTCGTATCTACGGGGCCGGGCACTCAAGCTCATCAAGCACACGCCAGAAGAGAACGGCTACGAAGCGTGGAGGCTGCTGCTGAGAGACATGCAGCCGAGCACAAGGCAGAGGGCATTGGCTTTGATGACCCAACTGTCGAGGATCACCTTCGCCCCGAACAAGTCCATCATGGAACAGCTCCCGGCCTACGAAGCCCTGGTCAGGGAGTACGAGAGGGTCTCATCTCAGGTGTACCCTGAGGACTTGAAGGTTGCATCAATCCTTTCCGCCTGCCCTGTTGGTGTGAGGACGCAACTGCAGATGATGGTGAGCGAGGAGACGACGTTTGAGTCGCTGAAGGGAAGGATCGAACAATACGAGGCGATCACTACGAAATGGAGCACAGAAAATGTGCTCGGCTTGCCCAGTCAGACAAGCATGGAGGGTCCAACCCCAATGGATGTGGACTACATCGGCGGCTATCAGAAGGGCAAGAAGGGCAAAGGAAAGGACGGAAAGGGCAAGTACGGCAAGGGTAAGTCCAAGAAGGGACAAAGCTACAACGACTTCAGGGTCAAGGGCAAGTCCAAAGATGAGAAGGGCAAGTCCAAAGCCAAAGGCAAGCAGGACCGAGGCAAGGGCAAAGTCAAGGAGCAATGCTGGAACTGTGGAAAGCCAGGCCACAGATCCAGAGAGTGCTGGGCCCCAAGGAACATCAACCAGGTGGAAGGAGATTGGACCAACTATCCTGCTTCGCCGCTGGCATCGGGTACTACCGGAGGTGGATCTACGTCAGGTGGAGCAACAAGTGCGGCGAGCTCATCAGCAGGCACAGCAACCGTCAGGATGATCAGGCTGGTCACGCCACCCGACATGAATGAGACGAGGATGTTTGACCTCACTGCCGGAGAAGACGAGTTCCTGGGGATGATCCAGGAAATTGATGACGAGAGCTACTCGGTGCTGATGGTAAAGGGCGAGAACGCTGGGCCATACTACGATGCCTACGAGCCCGTGGTGGAGGAGATTGGAAAGGCCACGGTGGTGGCTATGGACTTGCAGGACGATAACTTCGAGACGGAAGACGAGACCTACCAGGTGAACATGGTGATGGACGAAGAGATGGATCATGGATGGTCCAAGGTGGTGATGACGGTGGACTCCGGAGCGGACATTTCAGTCTTACCGGAGGAGTTTGCTGGAGTTGGAGAAGAAGCCCATGGTGGTGGAAGACAAATCATCATGAAGGACGCTCAGGGCAACATCATCCAGCAGAGCGGAACGGGAAAGGTGAATTTCGCCATGATGGGCAAGGACGGCATCCCGGTGAACTTTGTGGAGAAGTTCATCGTTGGAAAGGTGAAACACCCCATCCTATGCGCTGGACGTCTCCTTCGCAGTGGCTGGGAGATGAGAAGAAGTGAGGATGGGCTGAACCTCTGGCACAAGCAAGGGGTGGAGATCCCATTGGAGATGAGGAAGAACAGCCTACAGGTCGTGGCTGAGATCTGCTCGGTGGAGACTGAGGACAACCAGCACGAGGAGGAATGGAACACGGTGGAGGTTTGTGCGCTCGAGGGCTTCCTGGGAGCGAGCTTCAAGGAGCTGGAGAAGACCCCCGGCTGGCACGTATTGCCAAATGGCCTGGCGGCCTACAGTGATCCGGTGGCCACACAGCTGCTGGACCCGTCAGGCACCTTTGAGTGGAAGGCGAGGATGACCTTCATGAAGACCAAGGATGGCAAGTGGATGCAGGTCGAGAACGTGAGCGACTACACGGAGCTGGGGAACATGGCGTTCAGGCGTTTTGGCCCCACAGAAGATCCGCAAAGGACCATCACCGTGGTGGCCCCGGCGAAGATGAAGGACTACTTCGAGGTGGACTCAGAAGTCCCGGTGGCACCATTCCCCACTACGTTCAGGGAGCTCCAATCAGATGAGCTGGGCTGGTCAGATGAGGAAGTCGGAGTTGGAAATGAGGAGCTGATGCGAGAAGCGCCAGCAGAAGGTCATGAGGATGAGGCAGCAGCTGAGGAGCGCGCTGGACAGCGCAAGGAGGTGGAAATGGATGCAATCAGGTACAGCCTCGACAACTCCCTGAAGGAACTGCGAGAAGGATGTGAGAGGCATGGCCTGCCTACCTCAGGGAGCAAGTCCAAGCTGCTCATGAGGCGGGAAAACTTCAGGATGGACCTCGAGGCCAAGATGCAGACAGAGATTGCGAAAAAGCTGTACCGCGAGAAGGAGCGGAAACCTGTGTCTTTGGGCATTCCAAAGAGGCCATCCCTGGAGCAGCAGAACGAACACAACCTCACGCACTACCCTTTCGCCGGTTGGTGCCAGGCCTGCCTCAGCACGCGAGCAAAGGAGGAAGTCCACAGGAGAGACGCCCGGAAGGACGTGGAGAGCAACAAAACGGTGATCAGTTTCGACTTTGGCTACACCTACGTGGACGACTACGGCAACGAGAGAAGCCCAGAGGAGGTGAGAGATGCGGACGATCAGTATGGCACTGTGTTGCATATCGCTGATCATCACACGAAGGCGGTTCACGCAGTGCCTGTGCTGAGCAAAGGAGCCCCCAACCTCAAGTTGATGGTGGAGGAGCTGGTCAGATTTGGCATGCAGGTGGCTGGAGGAGACCCCGTGATTTATCAGAGCGACGGGGAGAGGTCAACAAAGCAGCTTCTTCGAGCTGTTCAGCATTGCAGGGCCAACCTAGGCCTGGAAACCGAGATCCGCATCTCAGGAGTGCAGCAACATGCCTCGAACGGGCAAGCAGAGAGGACAGTGCAGAGTGTGAGAAGGCTGGCAAATTGCCTCAGGTACTACGCGGAGGAGCAGGCCCAGGTGACGATTTTGGGCAACTCGCACGTCTACCCATGGAGCTTTAGACATGCTTCATGGCTGATCAACCGGTACCGCGTGCTGGAGAAGGAACGGAGGACGAGCTTCGAGGTGTGGTCAGGAAGAAGGTACCAAGGCAAAATCTGCCTGTTCGGTGAGAGTGTCATGTACGCCATCTCACGGCATTCAAGGGCGAGCCCACATCGTACTCACACCAGGCGGTGCTGTGGAGTCAAGGACTGTGAAGCGGATCCCGGATCAGTTCATCGGCACTGACCTGGTGATTGTGAAGGGACTGCCCTGGAACTACTCCGCCTCCGGGGTGCTCATGAAGAAGACAGGACCACGAAAGAGGATCGCATCAGCAGCTGATGAGGCAGAAGAAGGCGAGAAGATCGAGCTGGACAAGGCTGAGGAGCAGATAGAGGAGAAGAAGGCAAAGGAGGCTTCTGCTGAGCGACAGGCGCGAGAAGCTGGGATGGCCGTGGCTCTTGGGCTAGCTACCCCAGGACTCTTCGGAGGAGGACAAACCCCAGCCAAAACTGGGCTGATCACCCCGAGGTTTGCAGAGAAGAGGAAAGCCGAGGAGCCCAATGAGGAAGGCGACCCAACAGCCACATCAAGCTCATCGGCACTAGCATCAGCAGAAGCAGCAACAGCAGCAGCTCGACCAGAGCCCTGGGTGTTGAGGCAGATGCCTCCACCCCCAACAGCGGTGATGAGTGATCCTGGAGGAAGGAAACAGGAAGAGGAGGAAGAGAGCGCAAGAAGGGCGAAAGCCATGAGGAGATCAGAGGAGGCAGCATTCCATGGAGCTCGAAGGCCAGGTGAGGATCTCAGTGAGGAGGAATCACCGGCAAAGAAGAGAGGAGTTGATGAGTTTAGCATCAACGAGATCACGGTGATGCCCCATGGAGATAGCAATGCCTGGGATGAGATCGAGAACATAGGCGAGCTCGATATGAATGATTGGGGACCAGAAGACCCCGACGGTTTGGAGACGGTGGATGATGAGCTGCAGGTCATGGATTTCGACCAGGAGGAGATTCAAAGGATGGATGTGAAAGCCGAGGAGGAAGAGATATCGAGGCTTAAGGCGATGCCTGCCTTGATTGAGCTGCAGCCACATGAGGAGAATGACTACAACGATATCACCACCAAGATGGTCATCACTTGGAAGAAGAGAGAGGAGAAAGGCGGTTGGTTCAGAAGAGCCAGATTGGTCGCCAGGCAATTCCGGTGGAGCATAGATGTGGAGGACTCTTTCGCCCCCACGACTGATGGCGATCCCGAGGATGCTATTGCACCTGGCGGCCTGCTGCCCCGATCACTACGGAGTCCAGGTCATCGATGTCAAGGATGCTTTCTTGATGGTGCCTCAGCCGGAGGATGAGAGAGCATCGGTGACCTACAGAGGAAAGAGATATAAGCTGGTGAGGTGCCTTCCGGGGCAGAGGACCGCAGCGAACAGGTGGTATATCCACTTCAGGGATGCTGCACGTGAGTTCGGCATGGAGGACGACGTGATGCAGCCTACCCTGATGAAGCTGAACAGGGAGCTCTACATAAGCTTGCACGTGGACGACCTCCTGATGGTCGGCACTGAGGAGAAAAGGAGGGAGTTCATGGAGTTCCTGAATGACAAGGACTGGAAATGTGAAGTGCAAGGGCCATTCGACATTGGCGAGAGCTTCGAGTACCTCAAGAGGAAGATTGACCGGACCAACAAGGGCTTTGTGATCAGGCCAGACCCCAAGCACATCGAAGACATAGCGCAGAAGGCCGACATTAAGATTGGCAACTACAAGAAGACCCCCGCGAGGAGCGACCTTGGGAAAAGAGATGGCAGTGCAGAACTGTCGGAGGTGGAAACGTCGCAATTCAGGTCGATCGTGGGGAAGATGCTGTACATTGGAGGTGAACGGCCTGACTGCCAACATGCCATCAATGCCTTGGCGGCATGGATGTCAAAGCCTACGAGGACGGCGTGGAGGCATGCAGAGCACTTGGCAAGCTACTTGGTGGCCACGGAGTTCTACGGCTTACTCATCAAAAGCAGCAGGTGCGGGAAGTCCATGCTGGACATGAGAGAAATGCAGGATGTGGAGGTGAAGAAAGTGCACTTGCTGGAGATCGTGACGGATAGCGACTACGCCGGAGATCAGAACTCCAGGAAGAGCATCACGAGCTTCCAGGTGTTCCTCGATGGCAACCTCATGGAAAGCAGAGTGAGAAGTCAGAAGAGCATCTCACTGTCAAGTGGTGAGAGCGAGTACGTGGCCATGGTGTCAGGATGCAGCGAAGGACTTTTCCTTCGGCATGTGTGGTCCTTCATCAGGGGACACACACCAGCCCTGGTGTGCAGGTCAGACAGCAGTGCCGCCAGGGGAATGTGCAGCCGTGTTGGGATTGGCAGGACGCGTCACCTCGATGCAGTCATGATGTGGCTGCAGCAGAAGTGCCACGAGAAGGTGATCAGGGTGACGGCCATCCCGACGAGCATCAACAGCGCGGACATTGGCACCAAGGCCCTGGCACGCGCTAGAATGCGCGGGCTCATGTTCATGCTGAACATGGTTGATGAGGACAACCGCGAGATTGGAGAGGACGAATTCCACGAGATCGAACGCAAGATGATGGCAGACAAGGGTGCCAAGAAAATCCTGGGCACCTTGAAAGGCGAGTACCGCATGGCTCTGGTGGTGGCTTTTGCCAACTTGGTTTCAGCCAACGGAGCTAAGGAGGAGGAAGAGCCCGATGGAGCGGGGAGTGAAGACTGGAGTTGGATGTTGCTGGCCATTTTGGCCGGCATTGGAGCCTTGAGCCTGGTCAGGTGGCTATGGCTCTCCTTCATCATGTGGATCAAGAAGGAGATCAAGCGGATGCCCGAGAAGGCAACGGCCCGGGAATTTGAGGACAGCGAGCCGGAGGTGAGCGAGGCACGAAGGCCTAAGCAGGCCAGACTCCGGCACAAGACAATCCGGATCACGCCAACGGGCACCGTTTTCCACACGCACGAAAAGTGCCCCCACTACAAAGGTGGGCGGGCGCTTGGACATTGTGCCAAATGCTGTGGGTATGAAGGCAGCATGTCAGACTAGCATTTGGATTCAATCACACCCACAGCATGATGCACGCATTGACATTTCATGAAACCGATTGCCATACAGGCTCCAACTTTACTGGAGGTAAAAGAACCGTTGCCCGCTCGACATCTTCGCCTTGTTTGGCCGCCCCCGCTTAGCAATTCTCAGATTTCTCCCAAGGGCGACGCAAATCAAGAGGGGTTCCGCGTGTTTTTCCCCATTTTCCCTTGGAGTTTCTGCAATGAAGGCACATCAATTCATGAATTTCATGCAAAACCGGTGTTCATGGAGCCTGTTGAAAAAAGTCCATCCCGAGCACCCAGTTGATGATCTTGTTCGGGTGCGCGCGCGGACGTGCACAGCAGGATGCAATGATTTTGAAAAACCCGACGGACTTGAACTTTATAAAAGTCACACAAGAATTGGCGTGTGTGCTTTTTGCGCACCAGCGCGTGCGCTTCGCGCACTGCGGGTGTAATTACCGCACACCTGCTGTACGCCTGCAGCGCAGCAAAAGGGAAGCATCCGAAGCCACTGTGTCCGAAAGCATGTAAACAATTACACCAACAGAGACCCCAAACAGTTAAGGACTGACGGGCAAGCACAAACATGCCAACAAGTTGTGGCTTTCTGCGCTTCAACACGGATGAATCAAAATGATGCAGTCGTAAACCCGGCACGCGTTGCATTGCTGCACGTGTGTTGCTGGCGCGCTTCGCGCTTCAGCGCCGCGCAGGAACTGAGGTTGGGCAAGCGCGTGCGATAGCGGGCGAGCGCACGCGCGCGAGCGCGTGAGCGCAACTGTGGCTGCTCAAGCGCGCGGTCACATGGACAGTTCAGACACACATGTCCAATTCAGACACACATGTGTGTGCACACGTGGAACACACATTTGTATACGACTGAAACGGTACACGCGGCACGCGCAGATGCGCCCGTGAACACGCACATATACATTCACCTGTGGCACACGCATACATGTGTTGAGTTGGAAAACCAACGTGTGCTTCTTGAACACACATATGTGTTCACCTACGACACGCTAACATGTTCACGTGGAACACTCATGTGTTCACTTGGAACACAATGAAACACGTATCCAATTCAGACACACATGTGTGCACACGTGTGTTCACCTGGAACACAAACACGTGCGATTAAAGCGCACATTTGTGTACATGTGGGACACACATATGTAAACCACTGGAACACAAATATGTGTCCAGTACACGTAGAACACGCTTGAGTAAACATAAATGCTTGCCTAAAGCGCACATACACACACGCGCGCACCTCGAAAACAATCATGCGTTTTCTGGAGCACACACATGCGCACACCTGGAGAGCAAATATGTCGTCAGATGAAAAAAAGCTCACCTAGCACATAGTATCGTGCTCACGTGGAACACACATCTGTCCACCTGAAACACCAACAAACGTGTCCAAGTGGAACACACATGCGCGTACATGTGGAACACATATGTGTACACGTGAACACACATGTGTGCACACGTGAACACTCACATATATGTGCACCCGGACACACACCAGTGCGCTCATCCGATAACAACCGTGTGTTCTCCTGGAATGCAAACACGGGTCCAATTGGAACACACATGTGCGCACACGTGAACACACATGCGTCTACACGTGGAACACACATTTGCAAACAATTGCGCACACGTGAACACACACATATACGTATATGCACCCGGAACACACACGCAAGTGTTCATCTGAAAAGAAACATGTGTTCACTACACGTGTCTGATAAGAACACACATGTGCGCACACGTGAACACACATGTTGTTCACGTGGGAGACCCACACGCGCAAACGCGAACACACACACACACACACATGTGCACAAGGGAACGTGAGCACACACATTTATGCGTTCCTCCTGGAACGCAAACACGGACACCAGTCTGGGCACGCATGGGCCAGCATTCACACACAGCCTACGCTGGCGTGCAAAGTGCGCTGACCGTGTCGCGCCAGCTTGCTACCATGGAATGCGACTTGCTGGACAAACGCAAGAAGGCAGGGATGCCTTGTACGGAGCGTACGGAAGAATTGGTTGCGCGTTTCACTGCGAAAGCAAATGCTTCACTGAACCGGTACAAAGAGTACAATGCGCAGCTGCGCGAGAAAGAAGCGCAACGCGCCGGAAAGCTTTTGCTAACATGAAGCCTGCACATGCTGGAGACGCGTCCGATACCGACAGTTGTTGCAGCAGCAGTAGTGTGACAAAGTTGATGAACTGCTGGGTCTTAGAGAAGGCCATGCGTGAGGGCTTCTGGCAGCTCATGCATCCAAGAAAAGTATAATGGGTGTGAAAATCAGGCTCAGCCACCGTGAGGTGTCTAGCTCACACACACACGAGTCACATAAGAACACACACGTGAACACACACATGTGTACACGTGCAACACGCATATGCGCACACGTGAACACACATATGTGTACACCTGGGCACACACATGTGACACATATTCGCCTGGAACACGCAGACACACAGGTGTTCGTCTGTTTCCAAACATGTGCACACACACACACACACGCGTACATCTGGAACATATTTGTGTGTGTGTCTGAAAGTATTTCTGTCCACCTGCACATTCGTGTTCACCTGGAACCCACACATGCGCTCACTTGAAACAGGCATTTGTGTTTACGCGTAACACTGGTGCAGACCTGGGTCACACAAACATGTTTAACTAGAACAAACTTCTGCGCTGACTTGGAACACGCATATGTGTACACGGAACACACGTATGTGCACATGTGGAGAAACATGCGCGCAACACAATTGCGCAAGCACGCACGCGTTCACCTGGACAACAAAATGTGTTTACATGGGGTTGACATTCTCTGCACGCCTGTGCGACACAAAGATCAAGTTCCCGAAGCCGGCGGTAAGGCGCTATTCCATGCGGCTTTGAGTAAGTAGAAGAAAAGTGTTCATGCGCAATCAATCGCAATTTTGCAAGACGTGATTCAGGCCTTCACACGCCAATGACCGCCTCGCTCTCCTCCTTGCCGCGCGTGCCGAGGGCACAAGCTTCTCGCAGGGGGACGGGGAGACGCCGGCGCTCCGCCATGTTGCGACGGGCAATGTTTCTGAAGATCAATAAGATCGCGCGACGCGTCGCAAGCGCAAGAAAACAAAGAGCGTACAACGTTACTGCTTTTGCTAGCACTTGCAATTTTCCTTCTCTTGCGAACCAGAAAGTACTCGGCCTGGAAACACATCAGATTTCAACCGAAGGGGCAAACCAGTAAAAAAGGAGTTGTTTGGCGGGTTGCCTCGACACAAGCCCAGTTGCGTGATATGTCAACAGGCGGTCTGTGTTTGTCTCGAAAGTGCGATCTTGCAATGGCTGCCAGCGGATCCAATGTTCAGGACCTTGAGAACATTCAGGTCTTACAGACGCAGGAGCGCGTTGTGAAAACAGACGAACACAAAGCTTGACAACTAGCTGAATGTTTGGGCTGCAAACCGCGTGTGGGTTGCTGGGTGAGGGGCCAACAGTAGTATGAAAGAGGGGCCTACACACCTATAAAAAAAAGTGCGTTTTTTGCAAGAACAGGGTCCTAACACGCCAACCTGCTGAACTTGTCATTGCTTGTCATCGCTTGTCATCGGGGCCTTTTTGGTGGAAAAAGTGCACCAAATGGCCAATTTTCGGAGTTGTGAAACCTCGTTCTTTTCGGTCAGAAAACCTCGTTCTTTTCGGTCTTCCAGGGCTCTGGTAAAAGGTAAGCGGGGCCTGTCACCACTTGTCACCACTTGTCACCACTTGTCACCACTTGTTCTCAGATGTCAATGCTTGGATTCGAGCCCCAGGCCAGGGTGCTGCAGTGCTAAACTTTTTCATCCGAGACGCCTGCACGGGCTCACAGTTCGCACATGCCGTTTCGCATGGATCAACACAAAGCGGAAAACGTCGTTCGCCTAATCATGAACTACATGTGTATCACAAGTGGTCTACGGTGCATTACATGTTTAGCACCCCGCCTCGAAGCGTTGAGGATTCATCTGAACCCGGCCGCTCTCAGAGCTGCCAAAAACATGTGAAACCTAAAGCTGCTTCTCGCCCTTTGACCAATGCCCGACTAAAGCAGGTGGTCGCAAACCGGGCATCCATTTCTCCCACACACCATTTGTGGTTGTACGTCTGCGCTGGCTTCCAAGAGCATGGCATGTGTGACATACCTTGTAGTGAGCCGCCAAAGCTTGATCTTCAGTCACTCGTCTCACTTCTCTGTTGGTAACCCACTTGCAAGTACGCTTGTGAAAGTGGCGACCGCACAGCGTCACCCAAACATACACTGAATTCGCCTCCGCTGTTGCATCCTCTGTTGACTGCACTGCAAGGGATGCACGTGAGTTCTGTACCAATTGCCTTCTGCAGGATTTGAAAACCCACTGAGCCAAGCAAAACGAACATCACAACTGTAAGCACGCACAGCACAAATGCAACATCATGCAAAACATAGCTCAAGTCATTGGGCTCCGGGCTCAAGGCGTCTGTCACATTGGAGCCAGCTGCTCCACTAACCATGGAACTTGCAAGTCCAATCCGCAAAATCTTCTTTGCGCTCTGATTTGCTCTTGTACATGAAACTCCATCTGCATCCTGCACCTCATGAGCAATCCTGCGGATGGCACCTTTGAGGCGCAGCTTCACGTACTCCTCTTCTACCTCTTCTTCGCCGACCAAAGCATAATCTTGACATTCATCTCGCACACTCAAAAGACTCAGCAAAAACTTGATACGACACTTGCTCAGCGCTTTCGTTCCAAGATCTGCCACATTCCACTTTGCGCCAACGCTGGCTACCTGCAGGGTGCCATCTCGTGTCTTGGCACTGGCTGAAAATTGCCTGTGTCCATCTCCTGCCCCGCCTGGGCAGAATCCACTGAGCGACTGACTTCGAGCGACTCCGGGCCGCTCTCACTTGACGAAGGTGGATCACTCGCTGCCTCATCACCACCTCCACCAACTTCG